GGTTACATGCCAATTATCAAAATTGAAACTTTTTATCCAGTTCAGGGTGTCAATCGTAGTTTTTTTTAGTTTAGGGGACGACTTGAGCATTGCGGACAGGTACATGGCCAATTTGAGCCTTTAGCCTTTAATTTATTATGATGTGTGCTAGTCTTTTTTTCGCATTTGCGATTCAAGTAATATGTTTGTTTTATTGGTTTTATTGATGATTTTAGTCGTTTTACTTGTTTCTATCCCACGTGTAGAAAAAACTAAGGTTTTACCCCGGTTTACACATTTAAAATTAATGATGGAAAATTCGTTTGATCATAAGATATAAAAAGAAAAAGAAATACTCCCTAATATATGACCAAAATAATAGTATTGGACAAAATGTGACTTAATAACATTTAGTGACTATAGTTGTGTTTAAAGTTAACATCTTAGTTATTACAAAAGTACACCCGCAGTCACTACGATAAAAACCTTGAATACAATTATAGTCACTAAAAATTACTAAGTCATAATATATTCATGGACTCGGACCGGGCCGGGTCCGGGTTGGGCCTATGCCCGGACAGGCTTTTAATTTTTGGTAGAAGGCTCGGGACCGGCTCGGGTTACCACCGGGTCCGGGTCGGGCCGGTTCTAAAGTTTTTGTTTTTTTGCTTTTCTTATTAACCCCCAACCCCCCTACCCCCACCCCCCAAACCCCCCCAAAACACCCAGACCAACTCAGGAACAAGCCTAAAACAATGAAAAACCCAAAAAAAAATTAAGGCCCGAGCCGGGACTGGGCCCGTCTGGGCCGGTCAAAGAAGGGGCTGAACCGGGACCGCCCCACCCTAATTAACCCCCGGGACCGAGTCTGGGACCGGATTCAAAACCGGTACACCGGGCCGGGCTGGTTCCCGGGCCAGGTGGCCCGAACCGGGTCCAACACTAAGTCATATGTTCGTCTATAAATTTGTTGCTTGTGATATTTTGGGAAAAATCTCATAACAACTTCCAATCATGAAGGGGGTGAATTCGATCAACAACAACAACAACAATCCGGCCTTATTCCCAAAAGAGATTGTGTTCGACTAACATGAATCGATCCATTATATCAGAGCTAAAAAGAAGAAAAATAAAAAAAGAATAAAAAGATAAAGTAAGATAAAATGGACAAGATAAAGATAAATATATATAAGATAAATATAAGATAAATAACATAAGAACATTAGAAAAATAAAAGATAAAAGTGCATAACGTAAAAATATAGAAAGATAAAGAAAATAAAAGAAAAAGGGAAAAGGGAGAGAAAAGACGTCAATCGTCCACACGAATATGCGTCATTCACTTTACTCTCTCCAATGACATAATCGGTGAATTTCATATATCAATAATTTGTTACTCTATGGTTTTTTTAAAGTACACCATAATATTTTGGTTGACTATAGGAGGGGCTAGAGGGGGGACCTCGATCCCTCGAGAAAAAAATTCTTACACACACACACACATATAATCAGACAAGATCATGTCCAGCCGTTCGGACAAGATCCTCCGTCTGATCGCCTCCGTTTTGGGGGGTTCCAAATGAATTTTTTTGGTGAACATTTTTTAGCATATTTCTCATAAATTCTAGTTTATCCACACCAAATTTTTAGGTGCAAAGTCAAATATCACCCGCTTCGGGCCACCCGGCCCGGGAATCGGCCTGGCCCGGTACTGTGCGGGCCTGGCCCAGCCCGGGAACCGGGTACCGGTTCCGGGTCTAGGCCCGGTTTAGGGAGGTAACCAGGGCGGGTACGGGTCTGGGGAATATGGAACCGGCCCGGCCGGTTCTGGGCCCGGTTCGGGCTTTATTGTTTTTTTTTTAATTTTTTTAACTTTCCGGGTTGGGCTGGGTATTTTGGGCCATTTGGGCTGGTTTGGGGGGGTGGGTTAATTAGAAAAAGCAAAAAAAAAAAAATAAACTGGTCCGAGGCCCGGCCCGGACTCGCTGGCAACCCAGGCCGGTCCCAGGGCTTCCCCCAATCCCAAAAGGCCCGACCGGGCCTAGGCCCGGCCCGGGCCCGACCCAGCCCGGCTCCATGCCTGACCCAAAACATGGGATGCAAAGTAAAATTCTCCGTTATAAAAGTACATTAATATTTTAAACTTTAACCGCAATATAAGATTTTAATACCCAAACCTCCCAACACCGTGGCAATGTTTATGGTAATATTGAGTGCATGCGCATATGTGCTTAGGTTTTAGAATCTAGCATAATGTAATGGTACAATTTTACAAAACATCATTCAAGGTAAAAAAAAAACATTATTATAGTGTACTCATGTTCAACTTTACGGGCCGAACCGCCGAAATTGATCTTACTTTCCGGAAACTTATGGATAAGGTTAGGGGTGAGCCCGGTCCAATGGTCCGACCCGATTTAGAATTGGGTCCAGCACTGTTTGAGACTGGACTATGTCCAAAAAGTCTAGTTCGGGCAACCGCCCAGAGTCTGCCCTAACATGTTACCCAATCCAATTTCATCCATCTGGGGACCAAACTAGGCGGTTCTGGTCCCGGACATGCTAACCTTTTGGTCTTGGAAACGAGGGGAAATGAAAAAAAATAAACAGAACGGGATATGGTCCGAACTGAGACTTGACTGCCCAAATACCAAAATCGGCACAAACCTAGATTTAACCGGGTTAGACCCAGGCTTCGCCTAACAATAACCGAGATCTACCAGTCTGGAACCACCCTAGACAAGGCCTAAAATTAGTGTACAACTATGAAATACAGATACATCACTAGGGTACCATATCAACGTATTGGAAATGTTCTTGTATCAGATACTCTTGGATACTCGTACCGTACGTTCCCAAACCGTATATTCAATACTTTTTTTTGTAATTATTTTAAAATTTTGGATACTTGTATCCTTATGGATACACGTATAGTATGACGTATCAACTTTTTTTTTAATAAAAACACCCAAAATTTACATAATTAAATTTTCTTAAAAAACAAAAAATTAAAAATAAACTTTACATTATCCAAGATGCTTCCATGCAAAATTTGTAATAGAAATTTTAGTTTTTATATTAGAGTATTGTTTTCTATCTCCTTTATCCAATAACTTTGAATACTTGTACTTTTAAATTCAAAATTGTGATAGTTTGACTTGTTTCTCATTTTGATTTAATGACTGTTGACTATGTTTATATTTTGAGATGCAAAGTGTATATGTGATAAAATATGAATTTATTTCTATCTATTTTGATAATGTGAAATGCTTGAATGTCATGAATGGGCAGTGGTCAGAGAATAATATATGCATATATTTTCACAAAATCTTGTGATTTTTTATATTTAGAAATATCCCCATATTTTTTAATATTTATAACTTTTAATGTTTATGAATATATCCCGTATCCGTACCCTACTTTCTTCAATTTTGTCGTATCAACACACTTGTTTCCGCGTAACCGTATCGGTGCTACATAGATTCACATCCACAATCGCATGAAATTTTTGTATGGTTGGATATCGCACCCCTTCCGGCTTCCCCTTTCACTTTCCAGCCATGCTCGGCATATCACATACCCACCAAAGAATAGTGAACGTATTAGCACAATATGAAATTATGAATATATAGAATCTTCTCATTACTTTCTTTATCGAGTTTAATGCATCAAACTCTCTTATCGAGTTTAATGCATCAAACTCTCTTATCAAGTTTAATGCATCAAACTCTCTTATGATATATAAATGTTATTCATTCACCCCTGCAAGAACAAATTTTATAATTTTGAAATGGCTTTTCCTAATAATATGATTAAATATGCAACTAATTTTGTTAAGATTTCTAAATTTTAAGTAGTACAAAATAGTGATCATTTTTCATATATTTGGCAATTATATTTGTTCATAAAAGGGATTTTGTGCATGAATAACTATAACACAAGAGGATTTGACGCATTTTTTAAATCACAGGGGAGTAATGCGTCAAATATATATTTCACTAAAGGATTTGATGCATTAAACCTCATTTTTATCTAATACAAGTTTGTATACTATACCGTCTATACGTAGTATATCATATTCATAATTTAAAACTTTCTATTACACTTTGATCCCTTGTCATTTTAGAAACACAAATAAAACAATAAATCATTAAATGGTCATTATAAATGTTTCCTATTCCTTTTTCAAATTAAACTCATTCATTAATATTTATATGATGGATTGATTGAAAGATCATTCAAGCTTTCTCGTTGTGGTGAGGATGCCAATAGATAGAAGTTGGATAAATAATAAAGAATCGATTATCATAAAGAATAGGGAAAATGGAAACTAATAATCCAGCCTTTTAGCGGTTTTCTTATAATAATCAACCTTTTGGTTATTCATGAATAATCCAACCTTTGCACCTCATCTTCATTCACTGGTCCCTGATCGGTTGATGACCTGCTATTCCAAGCTATTTTCTTATCTTTGCAAAATATTATCTTTGTGAAAGATGAAATTTATGGTATAATGATTTGTAAAGATAAGAAAATAGCTTGGAATAGCAGGTCATCAACCGGTCAAAGACCAGTCAATGAAGATGTGGTACAAAGGTTGGATTATTCATGAATAATCAAAAGGTGGGATTATTAAAAGAAGACCGCTAAAAGGTTGGATTATTAGTTTCCATTTTCCCTAAAGAATATTGAAAGGGTCAACACGATTTTATAAACTATGCAAAAGACTATGAATGAAGGAAAGATAGGTCTTCCCTATAAATGCTGTATGGATGGGAAAATGTTTCCATTGAAAGATATTAGAGAACACACCTTTGAAATGGATTTAATGTGACATGCACATTGGGTTTTCCATGGTGACCCACCAGTTACCATCATTTTTAAAGTCAAATGCAGGATGCTAGCCAAATGATGGAATAGCAGCAGTATTGAATGAGATTGCAAGGGACACTCACGGGCATGACTTAGGAGGTGACATAATAAACAATATGGATGACCGAAGTGCATACTCAATATGAAGATCTATTATCTGAGCTTCACACGGAATTGTACCCATGGTACACCAAAGTTACATCACTACATTTTAAGTAAACTTATGTAGTTATGTACTTTGAAATACTCTAAATTTATGTACTACTTGATGGTAGTAATTTACAATTAAGTACATATAGTTCCATAGTTCAGTCATGTCATTCTCTAATTCTCACCCCTAAAAGAGTTTATATGAACTGTAAGCCCGGGGGAGTGGGATTTCAATACTCGAGCACTCTAAACAATGCCAATTTAGAAAGTACACAATATCTAAGTAAATATTTAATATTACCCAAGAGAGATCACATATTCGATAGCCATCCGTCCTACTTGAGTGGTTTCATACCCTGTACAAAGACACATTAGCCAGTGTATATAAATCTTTTTAGCTGCTACTTAGGATGTTTTTACTTGGACTGAAATTTTCTAGTCTGGTCTGTTTAAATCTGATCTAGTCTAAATTGGTGTGGAAGATGTCCGGTCTCTATAATTTATAATTGTTGAAGTCTGATCTAGTTTGTTAAAGTTTGATTTGGTTTGAAATAACATCAAATGAGTCCAAGTAAAAACATCATTACATGTATAAACATATAGAGACACAAACTCAGCATATGGGCACATGTACTATTACTATGAAACCCCAAGAATTCTCTATCCATTCAAAAATTGTTTAGGTGTGGCAAACTCATTTCAGAACTTATTTAGGTATTTACTCTGTAGAATTCCGCACAAAAAAGTGTGGGAATTAAATACTGTGGGAAATAAATACGAGTTCACATGATCTCTCACTTTGAATTTGCTATCTTGCAATTGCGCATAACATTTAGAAAGCAGTTTCTGCATATCATTTATCAAGTAATAACCCCATCATTTTCCAAAAAAATATCGTCTTCACTTTAAGTTATGTGTTAACTTTTAGTTTCAATATGCAAAATTTCAATATTCAAATTGTTTTTAGCTATATATAGGTTGGCGGCTGGATGTGCCAAACAGAGCCAATATCTAAGCTATAGTTGAAGCACTGTCTAGAAACATAATACCAGGCTAGAGAACACAGATGATTGTCCACAATTTTGTGTTTATTAGCAAAAACTGCATACCCAATTCATCACCTAGAAATGAAGCAATTATACGTATTGAGGTTCCATACTTCGATTACTTCCATGTTCAGTTCTATAGGCAGCTGACTACCCCCTGTTTGGTTTAAAAGAGGGGGAGAGGAGGGGAGGAGATATGAGGGAAGAGGAAGAGAGTAAAATGAAGGTTAAAAAATAGGCTTCAATATACTTTTAGTCCCTTGCAAATATAGCATGTTTTTATTGATGTTGAAATATAAACTATAATGATAATAAAGATGGAGAGAAAGATTTTCTGTGTATTTCATTGGAGGGTTAAGTCCCTATAAATATACATTACAAAGATAGAATATTCCTATAAGATTCTATACAATAATAATATCCTAGAGTATATTCCTAAAATATTCTAAAGTATATTCTAATTTCTAAGGATAGAAGAATATTCTAAAGTATATTCTAAAGTATATTCTAATGTCTTTCACACTCCCCCTCAAGTTGGAGCATAGATATTTATCATGCCCAACTTGTTACATAAATAACCAACACGAATTTCATTTAATGCTTTAGTGAACAAATCTCCAAGTTGCTCTCCAGTCTTCACATATCCTGTAGAGATCAATCCTTGTATCTTTTTTCTCGAACAAAGTGACAATCGACCTCAATATGTTTTGTTCTCTCATGAAACACTGGGTTGTTGGCAATGTGTATAGCAGCTTGGTTATCACACCAGAGTTTAGCAGGCATTGGTGTCTTCAATCCGATTTCACTCAGCAAATGGTTTATCCAGATTATCTCACATGCCGATTGTCCCATAGCCCGATATTCTGATTCAGCACTCGAACGAGAAACCACATTTTGCTTCTTACTTTTCCAAGAGACGAGATTACCACCAACAAAGACGCAATAGCCAGATGTGGATCTCCTATCATCTTTAGATCCAGCCCAATCAGCATCTCCAAAGCATTCTATTCTCATGTGATCATGATTTTGGTAAACAATACCTCGTCCTGGTGTCCCCTTCAAGTAACATAATATATGCTCTACTGCATTCCAATGATCAACTGTCGGAGATGACATATATTGACTTACTACACTAACTGAGTAGGCAATATCTGGACGGGTAACTGCGAGATAGTTAAGCTTTCCAACCAACCTTCTGTATCTTTCTGGATCTTCAAATGGCACACCTTCATGAGTGAGCTGCACATTAGGAATCATGGGAGTATTGCTCGGTTTTGCCCCCAATTTCCCTGTTTCAGTTAGCAAGTCAAGCACATATTTACGCTGAGATAGAAATATGCCTTTCTTACTCCTTGTAACCTCAATCCCCAAGAAGTATTTTAATGAGCCCAAATCTTTTGTCTGGAATTGACTATGAAGAAAATTCTTAAGGGCCAAAATACCTGCATTATCACTCCCTGTAATCACAATATCATCGACATACACCACAAGCAATGTGACACCTGATTCTGTTTGTTTGTAAAAGACAGAGTGATCTGATTTGCCTTTTATCATTCCAAATTGTTCAATAGATTGACTGAATTTCCCAAACCATGCAGGAGGACTCTGTTACAGACCATAAAGAGATTTGCGAAGTCGACAAACCTTACCATACTCCCCCTGACCAACAAATCCCGGAGGTTGCTCAATATAGACTTCTTCTTTAAGGTCACCATGCAAAAATGCATTTTTAATGTCCAACTGGTGTAAGTGCCAATCATGAGTTGCAGCGAGTGAAATAAGTAACCTGACAGATGTTAATTTAGCAACAGGAGAAAAAGTGTCAGAATAATCAACACCATAGGTTTGAGCATAACCCTTCACAACTAATCGGGCTTTCAACCGAGCAACAGATCCGTCTGGGTTAACCTTAACAGCAAAGACCCACTTACATCCAATAGATTTCTTCCCTGTAGGCAAGTCAACCAAATCCCAAGTACCATTAAGATCTAAAGCATTCATTTCCTCTACCATGGCATGACGCCATTCAGGATGAGACAAAGCTTCTTTGACAGATTTGGGAACAGAAATAGAATCAATGGAAGCAATAAAAGAACATGAAGCAGGAGATAACTGATTGTATGACACAAATGAAGAAATAGGATGAGTACAAGACCGTGTACCTTTACGTAGTGCTATTGGGAGGTCAAGATCTGGTGTGGAGACAAGATCTGAAGATGCAGGTACTGGTTCAGGACATGAGATCGGAGTCGAACTAGTATCAGGATAAGTAATCACAGGTATCGCCGGTGGAGGGTGATCGGGTGCTTTGTGTCGACGGGTGTATACCATATGTACGGGAGGCCTAGGGTCAGGATCAGTAACTTGTGGAATATTTGTCGAAAGTGTGGACTCGGGAATAGTCATCGTGTAAATGAGTATATCATCATTACTCTCATGAATATCTGCCTTAGATGATGAAAAAGGTGTATTTTCATGAAATGATGCATCAATAGAAACAAGATACCGACCAGTACTCGGACAAAAACATCTATACCCCTTTTGGACTCGAGAATAACCCAAGAAAATACATTTTAATGATTTGGGATCTAACTTTGTAAGATGAGGATTAACATCTCTAACAAAACAAGTGCAACCAAATATTTTAGGTGGGATAGGAAAAAGCTCTTTGTTTGGAAATAGACAATGATAAGGAGCTTTACCATTCAAAACAGAAGATGGCATTCGATTTATCAAAAAACATGCGGTAGACACGGCATCCGCCCAAAAATGTTTAGGCACATTCATTTGGAATAAAAGAGCCCTTGCAGTTTCCAACAGATGTCGATTCTTTCTTTCAGCAACTCCATTTTGAGGAGGTGTGTCTACACATGAGGTTTGATGAATAATGCCATTTTGAAGCATAAAAGATTTAAATGGAGCAGAGAGATATTCTTGGGCATTGTCTCCCCTCAACACACGAACAGGAACATTAAATTAAGTTCTAATTTCAGCACAAAATGCAGAAAAATGAGTAAATAACTCTGATCGACGTTTCATAAAATATAACCATGTCATACGAGAGTAATCGTCAACAAACGTAACAAAATATTTGAAACCAGATTTGGACACAATAGGACATGCCCCCCAAACATCAGTATGAACAAGGTCAAATGGAGCATTTGCTCGTTTATTAAGTCGAGGACTTAAACTAGTACGATGATGTTTTGCAAATTCACACGACTCACATTGTATAGATGACACCTTATTAAACTGAGGATATATTTGTTTCATTAGTGAGAGAGAGGGATGTCCTAATCGGTAATGAGCTTCTAATAGATTTCCAACCCCAAGACAAGAGATACCTTTTGTGATTGATGTATCCAAAATATAAAGACCAGCCGACTCATGTCCTTTACCAATGATCTGCTTTGTCAACAGATCCTGAAACACACAATATCCAGGAAAAAATGTAACAGAACAATTAAGAGTACGTGTGATTTTACTGATGGAAAGCAGATTAAATGCAAAATTAGGAAGACTCAAAACAGGTGATAATGGTAATGTAGAAGTTGGGACAACAGTACCGGATCCAAGAACAGGTGAGGTAGACCCATCAGCCAAAGTGACAGTAGAAGTAGGTAAATATGAATGAAATGATGAGAATAAATTAGGATTACCAGTCATATGATCTGTGGCACCTGAGTCAATGACCCACTGCGAGGATGAGGAGACAAGACATGTGTTTGAAATACCTGAATTAGCAACTACCGAAGTAGAGACAGAGGAATGCTTTAGAGATTCTTGGTAGCAAATAAATTTGGCATACTGGTCTGAAGAAATAGCAACTGATCCATCAGATGAACTGGTAGCGGAAGCAACATGAGCAAGCTGATTTCCTGGATTTTTGAACAGCAATTTTCTACATTCTTTGATCAAGTGCCCGGGTTTCTTACAGTAATTGCATATTACTCCTCTGTCAAATTTACCCGTACAAGACATAATTTCTTTTTTTTTTTCTTTCTTTCTTTATTTTTTATTTTATTTTATTTTATTTTATTTTATTTTTTTATTTTTTTTTAGGAGTGAGCAATTACGAGAAAAAAAAAAAGATAATATAGACTCACAGCAACTTTCCCGTTTTGTGGACTCAAAAGCTGGAAAATAAAATACTCCGTATCTAATTTACTGGCTCATGCGCGTTGACTGCTACGGACTCCAAACACAACAAAAGATGCGCTAGAGAATGCGCTAGAGATCCGACGGGAGACCCACCGCGCAAGACCCCAGCGGATGCGAAGAATCATGCGGATGTCCGATGTCAGACCCTAGCGACCAACCGCAAGAATTCCTCCCACAGATATTCGTTCCTTTGCTGAAGTAAATGATACCTGGTGGTAGAAGACTCTCAGGCGAATATGTTGGAAAATCCCGACCAAGTCTCTGGCCAGAGAAGGTGTGTCACGCGCGGGCGGCTGCTAATACTCCCGGGTGGCTGACGGGCGTAGATTTGGAGCAGCGAACTGTCAACGCCTGGTTGGAGACGGCAGGAATGGTGTAGTCGGAATTTCACCGGAAAAATGGTCGGACCAGGCGGAGATGGAGGTAGTTTGCTTGATACCTAGATTCTGAATTTGTTTGAACTGAGGTTCTGAATAGAGGGTCTGGTTAATGGCGATGGTGTGTAGAGAGGTTCTGTTCTGGATTGAGTTTCTTGGTGATAGTGGTGCACAGAGGTTCTGAACTGAACTCAGGTTCTTTGAGAAAGAACCGAGTCTGCAAACTAAATTGAATCTGAAAACTAAACTGAAATATGAAATCTAAACAGAAATAGATGGCTTTGATACCATGTTGAAATATAAACTATAATGATAATAAAGATGGAGAGAAAGATTTTCTGTGTATTTCATTGGAGGGTTAAGTCCCTATAAATATACATTACAAAGATAGAATATTCCTATAAGATTCTATACAATAATAATATCCTAGAGTATATTCCTAAAATATTCTAAAGTATATTCTAATTTCTAAGGATAGAAGAATATTCTAAAGTATATTCTAAAGTATATTCTAATGTCTTTCACAATTGAGACCCCTGTAGATTTTTTTATCCCTGTAATTAATGCTCTCTTCTTTGGTTCTTCAATTACTTTCAGCAAAAAAATATGGTGGCTCGCATAACTCCATTCAAAACTTTCCAATGTCAATTTTTTTAAATTTTTTAAGATTACGAGTAGGGTGAAAGCTAAACAAAATTGATCGTTAACGTTCTCAATACATGTCTCTACGGCTCCCTGCAAACAAAATAGTATATAGTTATCAAAATAAAGTGACTTGTAAGACAAGAGTGAAATCATGTTAGGGTTGAAGAGAAGAGATATTATTACTAACACTATACCATAATCGCAAGGACCAAAAACAATATATTAACAAGGACTGAAACCAAATTTAAGCCTTGAAAAAATATTGAACACCATGTATAACAATTATAATGAAGAATAGCTTTGGTATATACATACTTAGATGGTTTCAGTCCCAAGCCAGACCTAAATAGACCAAACAAGATTTAAACTTAATTAATTTTTAAGAATTAGAAATTTTATAAACTTGGTTAAATAGTGGAAATTTTATTTTTAGATTGGAAATTTTATTTGGAAATTATTTTATTTAAATAATCCAATTAATTTTCAGTTTCCATCATTTGCTATGGAGCCAAAGACTCATTATTTTTTGGCTTGGGAATATGATGGAATAAAGCAAAATGGTTCACTAAACTATCTGCGCTTCTTTGTTATGAAGCAACGATCAGTCCATGCAATTTTCGATGCAATTCTCACTATGGGTCATCCGGAAATAGTCTCTCTGTGCTTTAGTGCAGGGGTAAGACTGCGTACATCCGACCCCCACTTACCCCACCGTAGGTGGGAGCCTTAGCGGCACCGGGGTAATGATGATGATGAACAGTGGCGGAGCCAGAGGTTTGTCCAAGGAGGGGCAAACTGAAGACTAAAAATTTTAAAGTGCGTGTCCAAAATATAATAAGAACAACAATAGCATAATAAATTAGCAAAAAAATTATAGTTCATTACATACTACTTGATTTACTTTTGCAACGTAGGCAAATCAATCCTACGAGTTTCATATTTTGAAAATGTTGCATAATAGCTTCATTATCAATTGCTTGAAAAATGTCTCTTTCGATGTAGCATACTAAACAATTCGTAAGATAGTCATCTCCCATCTTATTGCGAAGATCTATCTTGATAATATTCATCACTGAGAAAGCTCTTTCAACTGTGGCTGTTGCAACTGGTAACACTAGAGCCAACTCAATAAGACGATTGACCAAGTGAAAAGATTTGTGAATTGTAAGCTCAACCATCTTCTTATACACTTCACCAATACTTTGTAAAGTGGAAAATGCTTCATTCCCTCTCATCTCATATATCCAAACTTGGAGTTGTTCTTTAAGCTCCATTTGCTCAACAGCTGAAAAATCAGATGAATACAACTCCGCAAGACTGAGGAGCCTTCTTCCAGTTACGGAATCCGGTCCTCACAAACACATCATCACCAAATCTCTTTCCTTCTTGCCCATGAAAAAGGTAACACCAAAAACAGAAAACAGCATCTTCAGAAATACTATATTCCAACCATTCCCAAGTTTTAAACCACTCTCCTCGAAAGCTCCTTAATGACTTTCCAAATTCAGTTCGTGGAAACTTATGAGATGCTGGTTGACAAGCACCTTTAACAACATATGCTCTCATCACATCATCCCTAACCCCCGGCGCATATTCATTAATTGGTTTTCGTAAAAATGGATCACTAATAATATCCCATTCATGTGTACTTTCTGTTCAGGCTCTCTTGTCCCTCTCATTCCTCTCATCTCTAGCAATATTTTCATTTGACGCAGTGGCATTTCCAACACCGGAGATAGACTGATTAGGAACAATTGAAGAATTAACACTTAATCTTAAAATAACCTTAAGTTGTACTTATTGTTTTTTAAGAAAGAAGCCGGGGCAAGAAACATATTATAAGTAATACTAGTAAAAAAAATTGGTCGGAGCGGGGGCGCTTGCCCCCCTTGCCCCCCCCCCCCTAGCTCCTCCACTGATGATGAATGCAATTAATTTTCATTTTTTCTAAACTTAATTATATATTGAAAAAGTTTATATTGAAAATATTAATAGTATGCTTTTTATACAGTTTGCTAAATAAGATGTTCTTGCACTTGAGAACGAAGCTCTTGAACTTGACCTTGATGATGATGATGAGGGAAATGCTAGTAGTTTTGTTCCTTTTTTCAAACCAATAGATAGATGACTCACTTTTTATCGCATGAATCTAATTAATTATGAATGTTACCATAAATAATTTCTCTGGTGTCATGTCTAAATTCAAGATTTAATAGAGACCCGACAGTTTATGTATATTAAGTAGGAAAGAGAGAGAGCCTCTGAAATCCTGAAGCAAATACAATGGCAGAATTTGTAGCCTAACGTATAAGAAAGAGAAGAAACAGGAACTAAGTTATTATAATACTATCCTAAAGGGTCGGCCCTCGGCCCTAAGTTATTGGGCCTAGCAGGGGCGGAGCCAGGGGGTCAGGGGGGTCAGACGACCCCGCTGAAAGTTCAAGAATGCAGAGCTCTGATATACCTTCGATTTGATATATTATGGGTCCCGTAACTCATTACGAGTAAAAAGTTATGACTTCTAGAAAAATCAGCACCATCTTAACTTGAAATAAGCAAAATTTGATGTGTGGCGTTGATTATATTCTTAAATTTAAAAATAAAACACCTTATTAAGTCCTTAATTGTGTGAACATTATGATACATTACATATATATCAATACATTAACCGAAAAATGATCATTAAACTACCATTTATCTCAACTACATATGAAACATTTAACTCAAGTATTGTATAATAACTATCCATCATTTTGATGCTGTATATAATTAAATTTCGACCCCCCTCACACAATTTTCTGGCTCCGCCCCTGTGGCCCAAGACCCTTTTATTATACAATATTAATGGACTTGATATTATTCTTATTAGGAGGAGTGTCTGGGTCCCTATCATGATTTCCATTACTTCGTTATGACATTATTGTTGTTTGTGTATCAAATTTGTTACTTTGGATTAATATTTACGTCTTATTATTTCTAAGTTTCTATATACACAATACCCTACAAATGAAGGAGGCTCTACGCCTCATCGTTGAGCCCCAACATGCCATTAGGCTTACACAATACCACAAAACTGCCTCGTTTACGCAATACGCAATTTCGAACATTGGCTATCTGCTAGAAAACTTCATTCATACTGCTCTACAAGACTACAATATCAAAAATTATCTTTCCTCCATCATATAATTTGGATCCAAAAATGTTATTCTCATTTTGAAATATTCAAGCAGGAAAAATGTCGAATTTTAAGAAACTTAATTATATGAGATGAGAAGGTGTCATCTAAGAGACTGATACAAAAGCAAACTGTCCTCATAAAAAAGGGAAGAAAGGTTTCTTAGGATGGCTAAAGAAAAACATATAAAATGAAAATTTTAATTCTAGAAATGGAATAGCAATAATGCTGCATCCGTACCTTAGATGCTCTGAACTCATTGACAGCCATCCTAAGGGAATCATCTGATAATATTAGCCTTGATAAAGCCCCAGTGCTTAACCTGTAGAAATTTGATAGGCGTATGGGGCAGCAGCCTATTCAATATTTTAATAAAGTCTACAATACGAGTAAGAAGTCTGTTACCAGTTAGCTAACTAGTTAGTTAGTTTATCCCTGCGTGGATAATTATTATAAATAAGTAAATAATTAGCCAGAAAGGGCAGGGTGTTATTTCGGTTGGTTGTAGACTTGGAGATTGGGCATCTCGAATTGTCCCTAGCATTGTATACCTCTTTTGATTTCCTCCTTCAATAAACATTGTGATCTGTTCTTAGTGTGATTCCAATAGATTCTCTACTGTACTGTTTGATTTCTACCAGTGTTCTATCATTGGTATCAGAGCAGTCGTTTCTGGTGACCGGAATTATTGTCGCAGTGCCAGGAATTTCTCGTATCAGCTGTGAATGGTTAAAACGAGAGCTAAAATGGAGAATCGAGTAGATTCACTGGAGCGAAACTATTTGGACATGAAATCAACCATGGCCGCGATGAATGAACAGCTTCAAACCATAGGAAGATCGCGAACACCACATCAACATCATACGCGATCATCGAACAGTCTGACAGCCTCCAGAGGTAATTCCGTTTATTATAATATAATTTGATCAAGTTCTTATATTTTAGAATTAGAAAATGAAAGTAGCAATCCATTTCATCTTTTTTATTGATTATTTAAATAAAATGTAAAAGGAAATAAACAATAGAAAAATAAACAGTAAAATATTACTCCCTCCGTCCCATTTATATTGTCTCGTTTTACCATTTCGGGAAGTCCCACTTAAATTGTCCCATACCATATTAGGTAAAGTTTGTGTGGCTCAAAATCATTCTTACTTTATTCTTACTTTATCAATTAATATCAACCACACAAACCCACTTTTCTTAAAACTCGTGCCACCCTCTTCCGTCCAATATAAAAGGGACGGAGGTAGTATAAATTAAAACTTCTAACATCTTTTCGATCACTAGAAAAAGATTCACTTCTCAAAAAAATAGATAATAGTTGATTAACATTTATAATACGGAGTATCACATAAAATACTTAAGAAACTAAAAGAGCCGGTGGTACAAATGTTATAATATTTACAATTTTATTCAAATGAATCATGCAAAAAAATATAAATGCAATCTGTTATTGTTATCACCAAACTTAACCAATACAAATATGTCGTATTATATTATTAGCTAACTTTGTCATAATGAATGTATGAAATGTGTAAAAGTTAAAATGATATATGTTAAATATATATATTTCTTGTCTAAATTATTTATTTACATATATATGAAAAAGTTCTTGTAACCAAGTTTTCTTGTCTAATATATATATGGATGAGTTCAAATGAGAAGACATCTTAACGTGTAAAATGAGAATTAATCTCGACCGTCCAAACTGTCGATCTGATGCACAATAATCTCTATCTGATGCACTTTCGAATAGACCTTATTTGATGCACTTTTCGAAAAGTGCATCAAATAAGGTCTATTCGAAAGTGCATCAGTTAGGGGTTATTGTGCATCAGTTACACGTTAAGACTTTTTTTTATTTGATCCAAATTATATATATATATATCATTGTTCTAAAAATCACTCTAGGCGCCCGACTAGTCCCCGCCTAGGCGCTAGGCGGTGGTCGGGCGCCCCGATTTTGGTCTAGGCGCTCCGACTAATTGAATCGGCGCCTAGGTGAATTCGTCAGCCGTCTAGGGTGCCTAGTTGCCCGCCAAGAGCGCTTAATGGGCCGCCTAGGCGTCTAGATTCATCGAACATTTTTTTTTTTGCTTTTTTATTTTAGTATCCTAAGAAATATGTACCTTTAACTTTGACAATACATGTAAGGAAAGCTACTAATGAGTAAGTGAGTAGATATAATATATTATTAAATGTGATAACTCTATCATTCATGCATGTTAATGTGTATGTGTGTGTATATATTTTTTATACACACACAAACACAACATTACTAATCATATTTATGCAAAAATATTGATAAAACTACAATTTCGATGTCTCCGATTAGTCCCCGCCTAGCCAACTAGGCGCTAGGCTGGCGCCCGACTAGCGCCTAGCGCCTTTTAGAACATTGATATATATATATATATACACTCCATATATCTTAAAAATGAAGAGTGAAGATATATATATATATATATATATATATATATATATATATATATAAGTGTTCGGTGTTCGGTTCGGTTTACGGTTTTTCGGTTTTAAACCAAACCAAACCAAACCATTTGGTTTGAGCAAATTCTTACCAAACGGTTTGGTTCGGTTAAACCAAACCATTTTACCAACCCCTAATTCGTAGATTTCAACCTGATTTGATCCAGAATCCTTATGGACCTATGCTGAGTCTTAAATAAGTTGGAACTGTGAAGGAGTATAGAGATGAATTTGAATTTTGAAATGGTCATTGCACCTCAAAGGAATGTTGATAGGGTATTACTTCAGACAAGGACCTTGAATTGTACAGTTTCAGTTCAGTCTTAATCTCCTCCTTAAGACCAGTAATAAACCCATCTAAAATCAGAAGGGTGGGACCAGAATTGTCTCAGGAGGAGTATCAGACCCTACAGGTACTCACAATATCAGAAAACTGAGATTGAAAGGATTATAAAAGAGATGTTAAATGATGGTATAATTCAGCATAGCAATAGCCCTTACAGTAGCCCAATATTACTAGCAAAGAAGAAAGATGGAGGGTGGAGATTTTGTGGGGATTATAGGGCTCTGAACAAGATTACTATACCTGACAAATTTCCTATACCAATCATTGAGGAGCTACTGGATGAACTAGGTGAAGCTATGATTTTCTCTAAGTTGGATCTGAAATCTGGCTATCACCAGATCAGAATGAAGGAAGAATGCAGACAGAAAACAGCCTTCAGGACTCATGAAGGGCATTATGAATATTTGGTTATGCCTTTTGGCTTGACAAATGCCCCTTCCACTTTTCAGGTTCTCGTGAATCAAGTTCTGAGGCTTTTTCTAAGGAAATTTGATTTGGTTTTTTTTTATGACATTTTTATCTTACCGCAAGTCTAAGGAAGAACATCAGGAACATTTGAGGAAGGTTTTATGTGCTTTAAAGGAAAACCAGTTGGTTATTAACTTAAAACAATGTTCTTTTGGGAAGTCAGAGTTAATTTACTTGGGTCACATCATATCAGGTAGTGGAGTTGCAGCTGATCCTACCAAGATAGAGGCTATGGTTCAATGGCCAGAACCCAAGGATTTGAAAGGACTGAGAGGCTTTCTGGGATTAACAGGATATTACAGAAGGTTTATGAAGGGGTATAGCAAGATTGCTTTTACCCCTGACACAACTTCTTAAGTACCACTTTCAATGGGGACCATCTGCTATCAGTGCTTTTGAGGAGTTGAAGAGAACTATGACCATTTTGCCAGTTCTTGCAGCCCCAGATTTCAACAAAGTGTTCTAGTAGAAATTGATGCTTCTAGGACATGTCTTGGAGCTGTTTTGATGCAAGAGGGAAGACCTATTGCATATATGAGCAAGGAGTTATCTAAGATAAATCATAACAGGTCAGTATATGAAAGGGAATTAATGGTCATTGTACTAGCAGTCCAAAAATGGAGACCATATTTACTGGGGAGAACCTATGAAGTTCCCGTTAATCAAAAGAGCTTAAGGTTTCTGACTGAGCACAGATTGATGGGGGATGAACAACAAAAATGGACATCCAAGAGTGGGAAGGATTAGAAGAGGAGTTGATTGCAGATCCTAAATGTCAAGCCATAATTCAAAGTATCATTTCTCAGCCAGACAAAAATTCTGAATTTCAGATTACTAAGGGGTTACTTTATTACAAGAGACTGGTGTTACCAAGAGAATCCCCTAGAGTAATCAAAATACTGAATGAGTATTATGATTCTGCAGTGGGGGGCCACTCAGGTTATTTTAGGACCATGAAAAGGATTTCTAATTTGTTTTATCGGCATGGTATGCGAAGAGGTATAAAGAAATATGTTGATGGGTGTGCTATTTTCCGAACAAACAAATACCAAGCTCTTAAACCACCACTGCCTATTCCTCAGAGCATATGGACTGATTAGTATGGATTTTATTGGTGGCTTACCTAAATCTCATATTCTCAGGGAAAGGATACTATCTTGATCATTGAGGACAGATTGACCAAATCTGCTCATGTTTTGGCTCTTTCTCACCCATTTACTGCTGGAAGAATTGTTCATAAGGGGGGTGGTAGGGTTACATGGTTTTCTTAAAACTATTGTAAGTGACAAGGATAGTATTTTTCTGAGTACATTTTGGTCAGCGCTGTTCAAGATTGTTGGAACTCAGCTAAAATACAGCACTGCTTACCATCCTCAGACTGATGGTCGGACTGAGGTAGTCAACAGGTGCCTGGAAACTTATTTGAGATGCCTAACAGGGAGAAAACCCAGATAATGGGTTAAATGGTTGGCTTGGGCTGAGCTTTGGTATAATACCAATTACCATACATCACCGAAAATGACACCCTATAAAGCTTTATACGGTCAGGATCGACCTGCTGTTATTAGAGGGGATGCAACTCTTACAGCTGTGGAGGAAGTATCTCAATTGACTGTTCGTAGAAATGTGATGATTAGGGAATTGAAAGATAATCTGGAGAGGGCTCAAAATTATATGAAACAGCAAGCCAACAAGCATAGGAGGGAGGTCTTGTTGGAAATTGGAGATATGGTCTATCTGAAGATTCAACCCTACAAGCTAAAGTGTTTAGCTAAAAGAATAAATCAGAAACTAAGCCCCAGATACTATGGCCCCTTTGAGGTTATTGGAAGAATAACTTTTGTGGCTTTTAAGCTCAAATTACCCATAAGATAGTAAAGTACACCCAGTATTTCATATCTCACTATTGAAGAAAGCCATATTACGGTATTACCTACAACTGTTTATCAACCCCTACCCAAATGTCTCAGTGAAGAATTAGAGTTACAGGTGATAGCTGAAGAGGTTTTGAACTCAAGGGTTAACAAAGAAGGGAAGATGGAAGTGCTTGTTCACTGGAAGGATCTACCAACGTTTGAGGACTCATGGGAATTACTGCAGACATTGACAAACAGTTCCCAGGTTAGGTATGGAAGCTGATGATCGATTCAGGCTCCCGGAGCGATTGCTCTGATACCAATGTTAGGTACACGGATATCTTGGCGATGAATTGTTGAATATTAAAGCTGAAATTGTAGAAACTGAAAAGAAACGATACAGATGAGACAAATTCGAGAGTGCCTCGTCTCTCCCAAGTCCCAGTCCAATCCAATTTCTGCCTACTCCCTTATTCCCTCTTTCCCACTCCTCTAGCAATTATATTGTAACGGGCCAGCCCATATTTTATGACATGATCCAGAATTCCTATTTATACAATACCACACTTATTTATTAAGAGTATCAATTATTACTACTATTATTATTCTCTACAGCCCAGGGCCCTATCAGCATGGAAGCAGACAAATACTACGTAGAAGCAAGGGAGGGGTATTAGTATTATATCACATACCCCAACCTCTTAGCTGCTTCAGATACAGAACCCTCAACAGCAAAAACTAGATCAAGTAATGCTTGCATTCCCTGCGGGTTAAACAAAATGGGGAGAAGTGATCATAAAGCTTGGGGGGGTATTAAAAACGAATATAATAGTCAAATGATATTATAAGGGGTGTGATGGAACCGGAATAAAATTTGCATTATTTGGTCCAATCTTGGGCCCAAAATGAGGCCCCTTGATAGATGATTTAGCGGGAAGTATCTGAAGTAGCTCTTCTGGAGGTACGTAAGCATCAAGATCTACGTGGTTCCTCACTGACACATTGGATTATAAAACAAGCATTATCAGATGAGTCCTACATGATTACATTGACAGAAGATATTCAAGAATAAGAGCCATATATGCTTGTTTAAGGGGACATACATGGCAACTTAAGGTAGGCCCATAGGTAATGGGACTATGAGAGTATAGTACATAGTGAACACTCCATCTTCTACACAAATTCTATATTTGAATATTTGATATTTTTTACTCCCTATGCCTAATGCATTCTTTGGAGAGTCTTATAAACGTCGCAACATCAAGGGCAAATCCTTGGCTAATTGAGCAGTTTAGTACGGAAGGATATTAATTCCTTCATTATACTGGTTAACTGCTTTTTTTCATTAAGTTGATCTATACCTTTATTGCTTTCCATCATTCAATGAGTTTATTTTAAGAATTGAATTTATGTAATCCTATCTTTCCTTACTGGTGCTTGAAACCCTTTCTAGAAGTAGGGACTCTTCCTTTGAATAATAAACAAGCCGATATTGAATCATTATTAAGGACAGAGGAACTCCAAAAAATTATTGAAGCTTTATCCCTTCCTCAGCACCCTTACTTCCCCTATATTGCCTGCAAATATAAAGGAGCCACGTCCCTCTCTCCTCACCAACTGCTGCTAGCGTGATCTCTAGCCCGGGAACATACCAACGTCCCAGAAAGTAAATAAAAGAGATCATAACATCCAAGCCTTAGCCTCAAAGTAATCTTTGAGAGATGGACAGAAAACAATATTGGAATATTATTTGTGAAGTTTCTTTCCAATGAAAATTATGGCCCCTAATTGCCTAATTGGCAACAAAGGTAAGATCATAAGCGGGATGAGAATAGTGTTTGATCTTTTTTCACCAAATAATAAGTGTCAAGGAAGGGTCTTGATGTTTTTCAAGACTAAAATGAAAGATGCAAAGTCATATGAGTCGCAAGTTAAAACCATATTGTTTGGGGTCTAGTGTCCCAGTGGCAATAAACAAATACTCCCTCCGATTCAAAAACAAGTTCCACCTTTCCTTTTCGGGCAGTTCCAAAATTAAGTTCCACTTTCAATCTTTTCCTTATTTGGCAAATTATCTACATCAAAACAATTCCAAACAGTGTCAAACAGTGTTCAAACAGTTCACTCCACAGTAAAGTCAAATTTCTTTTCTTAATATGTGTGAAGTGAAATGTGGAACTTGTTTTTGAATCGGAGGGAGTAAATAAATAAAAAGGAAATTGGAGTTCGTATCCTACTCTTTGGAAGTATGTTTGCACAATTGCAACCCATTTCTAAAAAATTTAATATTCTTCAATTTCAAAGACAAAATGGTTTGAACCCTAAACTATGCTCTGCAGTGTGCAAATACTAATGATTCCAAAAAGGTGGTGTGCAAACTCTAATTCCCCCACAATTAATGTTATATTAGAAAATTTCTAAAATTTTAGGGCACCAGATGCAAAGTTTCTAAATTTTAGGGAACAAACCTTTAAGAGCCAGTTGAGCTCGCAATCGATTAAGTGCCGAGGCACGATTCATGTGCTGAGACCGATCTTCTGCAGCCTATATAGTAAGAACAAATATCAATAGGAAAAAAATGAAGGAAAAAGGAAAGCAAGTTAAAGACACATACAACTTTATTGCAACATTACACTAAGAGAATTATACGAGTAGGTACTTACAATTAGAGACAAAGATGATGGCTAGGTGGGAATTAACCATCCTACTAAGAGGCTGATATTAAGACTTGAGGTTCCAATTCTGAGACGATTCAACATGCATGGTGACTGTTTGAGTAGACTAATCTAATCTTAGTTTGTGTTCTTTAGTTTGAAGTTTGTGACCACCTTTTGAGACTGACTAAGATCCTTTTCATGGATGTTTTTACAGAAATTGCCCTAAATAGGAGTAAAAACGTTTTGAAATTTCAAAATAGGAGCATCATGATTTTTATTCCCTAAATAGGAGTAATCTGCCAAGTTTAGAAACAAATGCCATGTTTAAAGCCTTATAATTCCAAACTTGGCAGAAATTTACTCCTATTTAGGGAATAAAAAAAATGATACTCCTATTTTGGAATTTCAAAATGTTTTTACTCCTATTTAGGGAATTCTCTCATGTTTTTAATGGAGTAATATGTTGAAAGAATGACAAATAAAACCTACAAGTTTTTATTAGACAAAAATAGGACCAATTTTCATTTGGACAAAAAAGAGACCGCTTTAAAATCAAAAGGACTTAAATATCACTAAATTTGCCATCCTCAATCGGCTCTCCTGCGCCCCGATGCTTCTCCCCTTCCCCGGCCAGCAGCCCTCCCCCTTGCTCCTCCAAGACTGCTTCCACCATCTCAGGCCGTTGCCGCTGCCGCACAGGTTAGTCCCTTCTCCCAATTCTCCTCTTCTTCTGTTCAAAGGTTCGCACATTGATCCTTCACCTACTTCTCTCGACCTTTCTGATTGCTTCCATTTAGACCTCGACTGATCAAAACACACCAGTATGCTAGGAGGAGATTCCGATTGAAATGGTTGCTCCTAAGAGGTGACTAGGTTATGGGTAGGACAATGACAAGGGCTACCAGGTGGGCTATGGGTGGGCTGACAGCGACTAGGTAGGTGGGCGATGATGGTAAGGTGTGGGGCGGCAGTTATGGTGAGGGGAAGCGCGTCGGGGCAGGTTTCCATCAAAACGAATGCATCGGATCTCATCAGAACTACGAAGTTAAGCGTGTTTGGGTGAGATTATTATTCGGATGGGTAACCCCTTGGGAAGTCCTCATGTTGCATCCCCGTCCTCAACTTCGTCATTTGCAATGGAATTGATAGGGCCTTGGGCTGTAGACAATAATAATAGTAGTAGTAGATTGATATTAAATAAGTGTGGTATTGTACAAATAATGATTCTGGGCCATGTCATAAAATATGGGCTGGCCCGTTAGAATATAATTACTATAAGAGTGGGAAGGAGGGAATAAAGGTGTAGGCAGAAATTGGGTTAGGCTCTGGACTTGGGAGAGAGAGACACTCTTGAAATTGTCTCGTTATCGATTTCTACTGTTCATCTTCGTTTTCTTCTGCATTCTCCTGTAATCTCCCGGTGGATTCTGGATACTTATCTGTATTCAGAGAATTAATAGACAAATACTTCTTCTAATCTGTTCTGAAATCATTGGTTCCTATCATTAGTATTAGAGCACTCGCTTCCTGGAGGCAGAAAATCTGAATCGATCGATAACATCAATTACCTGGAGCGATGGAAGAATTATGTACACCCCGAATGGAGAAAAGCCTGGACAATACTGAACGCAACCTGAAGGAGATGAAACCTACATGGGTCGAGTAGCTGGAAGAGTTGCATCACATGTTGCGCAAACATCGTCGCAAGCGAGGGGTCCTCTTAGACGCCGTTGGTCAAGTGCAAATCAGGTATCATCATCCTCTCCTCCTAGTTCGCAGGCATCCTCGCGTGCGCCAGTTTCTCCTTAGTCGATGATGCATTATCGTGCATCATCTGCTGGTTTCCACACCACCAGATTCTCTCAGTTCGCGTCAAAGTGCGACGCGATTGACGGGAGAATCTTCCGCTTCGCACTTGCGGCCTGTCTCTACCAGTTTACACTCACAGACCGTCTGTCCTAGTTCACAGGTGCTGTCTCTAACTGATCTGTCAGTACACAGGTGTTGAAGCGAGCAGAAGCTCCCAGTTCGCAGTCGCGAACATCATCATCCGCCAGCAGTTCACGACCAAGTCAGGCGCGATCGAGAGGGTAGCTTCCCGTTCGCAGATGTCATCGCAAACCGCATCAGCTTCATCGCGAACAGTAGCTTCTAGTTCTCAGGTGTCGTCTCAGCCGCTTACATCTTCTCACACGTCGCAAGTTTCCTCTCAGTTGCAAACAACTGTTTCTAGTCCGCTATCTTCGTCCCGAGCAGATACGGTCAGTTCTTAGGCTTCAGCATCCTCTGTCAATCCGCGACAAAGTGCTTCTCACTATGCAGAACCTCAAACGTTCCATCAGGAGTATTTTAATCAACCGCAACCTCCCTCAGAAGGGCAAAATTCTGCTAGAGAAGCTGATAATACTTCTCTGAAGACCAAGCTGCGGTCTGTGAGTGTTAAGAGTGACCCTGGAGAAATGGGAGTTACTGTCAATCATAGGTCAATGGGGAAAGTGTCAAGGGGAGTTAAAGTTATTTATAGCTCAGGACTCGCGGAAGAGCAGATTCAAGTTGAGGAGAATGCTAGTGTTCATGGCATGAACACAAATTCTGATAGGGGTGATAATGGATTTACTCAAAACAGTGCTTCTCAAGAGACTATAGCAACTATACCATTCATAAAGCTTCTGTCCGTTGAGCGTAGCCTTCCTATTGATGAGGTGAACAAAGCAGGAGCTATTCCATATTTTGTATATCTCCTTGAAAGGGGTGACATACACCAATGGCAAACTGAAGTTGCTCGGGCACCGGTATATGTTACATCTAGGACAACCGGATATACAAGGCTTGTCATGGACCAGGGGACTGACCCTAGTTTTATAGTTTATACAGCCTCTTAATTCATGATAGGTACCTAGCGAGGTCTGAGCAATAACAGAGAACAAAGTATAGATCTGATATTTTGGGAAGAAGATAATAAGTTTATTGATAGATAAGATAATCCGTAAGCAACACAGGCAACCAATACTTGGGCATCAAGGCAACAATTCTGAAGGTAAATGATACATTAACAGGGGGTAAAATTGACAAAGTGTATATCAGGAAGAAGAAAAGAAATATGGGAGGACCGGTTATTGGGGATCACGCCTCTAATAACTAACTCCTGGCCACCTGGGAACGTGCAAGGACGTGGGTACGTGCAGTGAGAGGCGCAGAGGGGATTATAGCGGGCAGGGCATCTGGGAGTTGGCAGACTGGAAATTGGCTTGTCCTTAGGAGAGTGGGGACTCTGTAAAAACCTTTTATCCTTCATCCATGTTTTTCTCAGTTTCTTATTTGTAATTACGTTGATCCATACTGATTCAGATTGTTTCCCTTCCAATATTATCAATACGACGCAAGACCCTATCAATTTGGTATTAGAGCGTGTGATCCTGCGAGTGGATGGTAGCGACCAGGGGCGGGATGGAGCACCGCATGGACAACATGGAACTACGTGTGGGAAACTTAGAAGGATCAGTGAAGCAGATCCTTGAGAGCATGGAATCTTTTCACGCAGAGTTCAGAGATTTCGCGAAGAGGAAGAGTAGTGCGAGGGAGGACGAAGGGGAGTTTTCACCGGGCGGAAGTGGAATAACTTCACCGCAGGGGAAATCCGGAGGGTACGAACATCAAGGGCGGACACGAGGTCGCAAGCTAGAGATTCCCGTGTTTAATGGAGACGATGTGCATGGTTGGCTAGTCCGGGTCGAGAGATATTTCCGGGTCAACGAGCTGCAAGAGGAGGAAAAACTCGACGCAGTGGTGATTGCTATGGAGGAAAGGGCCCTTAATTGGTTCCAATGGTGGGAAGAGCAGACGGTGGAGAGAACGTGGCCGGAATTCAAAGTCGCGGTGCTGCGGCGGTTTAACCCGGGTGCATTTATTGATCCGATGGGCCCATTATTGAGGTTGAAACAGGAAGGGACTGTTGCGGACTATAGGGATCATTTTGAACTCCTTGTAGCTCCATTGAAGAAGGAGGAACGCACCTTACTTCCCAGCATCTTCAGAAATGGCCTCAAGGATGAAGTTAGAGCGGAGTTGCGGCTGTTTAAGATCACTGACTTGGCAGACTTAATGGATCAAGCTTTGGTTGTTGAAGAGACGCACCAAGCTCTGTTTGGGAAGGGTATTGGCGCAAAGGAAAGGACGGAGACCAAGGACAGGACCTATACTCCTAAGTTTCGCAGCCTGTGGGATAACAACAAAGACAAAAAGGAAGCTGACCGGAAGGAAGGGTATACTGGGGGTAAAGGAGGAGAAGGCTGGAAAGGGAAGTCACTAAGCCAAGCTGAACTAGAAGAAAGAAGTAAGAAAGGGTTGTGTTTTAAATGTGGAGATAGATGGGGTAAAGGGCATATCTGCAAAATGAAGCACCTGCGGCTGATGTTGTGTGAAGGAGGAAGTAGTGACGAAGAGGAATTTGAAGAATGCGAGGTTTTAGAAGAGTTTAAAACTCTACATCTATCTTTGCAAAGCAGAGCAGGGATTGCTACCCACAAGTCCTTCAAGGTATGGGTGATGATTGGAGGCAGGCGAATACTGACCTTGATTGATTCGGGTGCAACCAGTTGTTTTGTGTCCCCGGAGATTGCTGAGATTTTGAAACTGAAAATCACTGAGACGCCAATTTTTGTCGTGGAGGTGGGAACCGGGGAACAAATCAGAAACACCGGGGTATGTAACAATGTCTGTTTCACAATCCAAGGGATAGAGTTCCATCAGGACTTTTATCTGATGGATCTGGGGGGGACAGAATTGGTATTGGGATTGGATTGGCTGGCTGGTTTGGGCAACATAGAGGCAAATTTCAGAAACTTGAGCCTTAAATGGACCAGGAATGGGCAGAAGTACATCATCCAT